CGCTGCTCCCCTCAGCAGTGTACTTCGGTCCTTCTGCCTGCTCTGCTCCCCGCTCTGGCTCTGGTGAATTCTCTCACCCTCCCGCGCTTCTGACTTCTGACTGTACCCAGTGCATGTATAAACAGAAAAAAAAAAAAAAACAAAAACAAACAAACAAATAAATAAAACATGCCTCTATTAAAAAAAAATAATAAGATTCCAGAAATAAGAAAGGCGGGAAAAAGAAACACAATGTAAGTATTAACCAAGCAAAGAAAAACTAGTGTGAAAGATAAAGAGTGAAATTTTGTAAAAATGGAACAACTCAACAATAAGGTACAATAATCCTAAATTTGCATATTTCATAACTTAGAAATGTATAAATTAAAACAAAACAGACTAAGAGGAAAAATAGGTAAATACACAATCAGTGGAGATTTTAAAATACCTTTCAGTTACTAACAGAATAAAAAACAAAATCAGAAAGGATGAAAAAGACCTGAAGAACATAACCAGAGAGAATCAATGAACATTACCTACTTCACATACAAAGATTGTTGCATACAACAAACTGCACAATATATAAAAATGTCCAGTGCAGGGGCCTCCCTGGTGGTGCAAGGGATTAAGTATCAGTACTACCAAGCTATCCACAACCACTGCAGCACAAGTTCGATCCCCAGCCAGGGAGCTAACCCACATAACACAGCAGACCTCTCCTGACTTGCCTGCTGCTCCCCTCAGCAGTGTACTTCAGCCGATCCACCTCTTCTTTTCCTCACTCTGTCTCTGTTGAACCCTCTCACCCTCTCCCCTGCATCCCAGCTCTTGTATACATAAATAATCTTTTAAAAAAATTTTCCAGTGCACACACTGGAAAAAATATTCACAAAGCATACTATTACATAGGATATACAAAGGACTCCAATAACTGATTAAAAACTAGTAGCAGTAACTCATTTTTTTAAATATTTATTTATTTATAAAGATTATGCATACAAGAGCTGGGGTACAGGCCAGAGATGTGGGGGGTGAGAGAATTCACCAGAGACAGAATGGGGAACAGAACAGGCAGATTGACCCAAGTACACTGCTGAGGGGAGCGGCGGGTGAGGCAGGAGAGGTCCACTTCACCATGTGGGTTTCTCTCCAGCCAGCCGGGGATCAAACTCGTGCTGCAGAGGGTGCGGATTGCTTCAGAGTGCCATGCTTAACCCCTTGCGCCACCAGGGAGGCCCAGTAACTCAATTTTTTTAATGTGCAAAACATCTGAATAGACATTTCCCTGAGATATGTGAATGGCCATCATTAAGTCTATGAAAAAGTGCTCAACATCAGAGAAATATACATAAAAACCACATTGCAGTATCACTACACACCCACCAGAATGACTCAAAATGACTGTCAACATCTAATGTTGGAAAAACAAAATTCTCGTGCACCGTTGATGGGATTATAAAATTACAACTTAGTAATGAAATAGTCTAGCAAATAATATTAACGCTAAGCATGCCTAGTCTATGACCCAAAAATTCCATCACAGGAATATACACAAGAGCAATGAAAAGTCCACAAAAAGACTAGTAAATCAAAAAAGATTACAAAAGACAAAGGGCATTACATATTGATAAAGGTTCAATACAGCAAGAAGATACAATTATAAACCTTTACAAACCCCATGACACATCATTAAAATATATGAGTCAAAAACTGAGAGAACTGAGAGACAGACAGTTCTATAATAATAACTGGTCTACTTCAATACCTTACTTATAATGTTGAAGAGGACAACCAGACAGAAATAAGGAACAGAGGACTGAACACAACAAACCAATTAGATTTAATGGACTTACACAGAACACTCTTACCAGTAACAGAATACACATTCTTGGGCCTTCCTGGTGGCACAAGGGGTTAAGCACAGCACGGTGAAGCTATCGGTGTCCTCTGCAGCATGAGTTCCATCCCGGCCAGCCAGGGAGCTACCCATATGGCGCAGCAAACCTCTCCTGTCTCCCCAACTGCTTCCCTCAGCAGTATATTTCAGTCAGTCTGACTGTTCTGCTCCCCTATCTGTCTCTGGTGAGTCCTCTCACCCACCCAGCACCTCTGGCCTGCACCTCATCTCTTGCATGCATAAATAAATAAGCCTTTAAAAAAAAAAAGAATACACATTCTTCACAAGTGCACAAGGGATATTTTCCAAGATAAACCATATGACAACATACAAATCAAGTCTAAATACATTTTATAAATTAGATATCACATAAAGATATGATACAAAGATATGATAGAAAACCACTTTGAAAAAGAGCTTGGCAATTTCTAGTAAGATTAAATATTTACCATTTTCTCTGACCATAATAAAGCTAGAAATCATTAACAAACAGAAAGCTAGAAATCCACAGAATTGTGAAAATTAAACACATTTTTAAATAACGAATGGTTCAAAGCCAAAAATCACAAGGAAAATGAAAATTACTTGAGATGAGTAAAAACAAAAATACAACATACCAAAATGTATGGGACCAAGTGAGAATAGTACTCAGAAGAAAATTATAGCTATAAACACAATGAAAGACATGAAATACCCCAAATTAACAACCTAACTTTACAACTGAAAGAACTAGAAACTTAATAAACTAAGCCAACAGTTAACAGAAGTCAGAAAATAGTAAAGGTTAATTAGAGCAGAGATAAAACAGAGACTAGGAAAACAAAAGAGAAAATCAATGAAATCAACAAACCTTTAGACTAAACAACAAAAGGTTCAAATTACTAAAATGAGAAATGAAAGTGGGAACATTACAACCAATTCTAGAAACATAAAAAGAATTATAAATAAAGTATAATGAGGGTCTCCCTGGTGGCCTAGGGGTTAAGTCTCAGCAATATCACTACTACAGCCTGAATTCAATCCCCAGCCAGGGAACTAACCCACATGCTGTCTTGCCGGCTGCTCCCCTTAGGAGTGTATTTCAGCAAATCCACCTGTTTTGCTCCCGACTCTGTCTCTGATGAATCCTTTCAAGCCCCGGCCCCCTCTGACCTACACCCCAGTTCTTAGACGCAAAAATAAATAAAACTTTTTAAAAAGTATTATGAGGGCCTCCCCTGGTGGTGCAGCAGTTGAGCGCTGGGTTGCGAGGCTGCCCACAGCCTCTGCAGCGCCAGTTGGATCCCCGGCCACTGGCGAGGGTCCCACACAAAAATAAATAGATAGATAGATAGATAGATAGATAGATAGATAGATAGATAGATAGATAGATAGAATTGTGAATAATTGTATGCTAACAAATTAGATGAAATGGACAAATTCCTAAAAACACCTCTCCTGCCTCCCAGCTGCTCCCCTCAGCAGTGTATTTCGTCAATCTGCCTGCTCTGTTCCCTGCTCTGGCTCTGATGAATTCTTTCACCCTCCTACACACTTCTGACTGTACCCAGGGCTTGTATAAACAAATAAATAAATCTTAAAAAAAAAAAAAAAGAAGAAATATGATGATGGGCCTCCCCTGGTGGCACAACAGTTGAGTGCTGGGCTGCGAAGCTGCCCACAGCCTCTGCAGCACTGGTTTGATCCCCGGCCGCCGGCGAGGGTCCCATATGGTGTGCGGACCTTTCCTGCCACGCCCACTGCTCCCCTCAGCAGTGTATTTCGTCTGTCTGCCTGCTCTGTTCCCCGCTCTGGCGAATTCTCTCACCCTCCTTCACTTCTGACTGTACCCAGTGCTTGTATGTATGTATGTATGTATGTATGTGTGCATGTATAAATAAATAGGGAGGGAGGGAGGGAGGGAGGGAGGGAGGGAGGGAGGGAGGGAGGAGGAGGGAGGGAGGGAGGGGAGGGAGGGAGGGGAAGGAGGAGGGAGGGGGAAGGAAGGAAGGAGGAAGGAAGGAGGAGGAAGGAAGGAAGGAAGGAAGGAAGGAAGGAAGGAAGGAAGGAAGGAAGGAAGGAAGGAAGGAAGGAAGGAAGGAAGGAATATGATGGTGACAGGCCTACCTGGTGGCACAAGGGGTTAAGACACAACCTATGAAGATTACCGCAGTCACTGCAGCAAGAGTTCGATCCCTGGCCAGGGAGCAACACACATGGCGCAGCAGACCTCTCCTGTCTCACCCACTGCTCCCCTCAGCAGTGTATTTCAGTCAATCTGCCTGTTCTGTTCCCCACTCTGTCTCTGGTGAATCTTCTCACCCACCCCCCAACACCTCTGGCCTGTACCCCAGCTCTTGTATGCATAATCATTTTTTAAAAATTTATAAAAAATAAAATATGTAAGAGGCAATTTCATAAAGCAAAAAGTAGATTAGCGTCCACCAGGGACTGAGTGGAGGGCAGATGAAGAATTACTGCTGATAGTTTGCGGTTAAAAATTTATTTTTTTAAATAGTGGTAATGGTTGTACAATACTATGAGTATAGAATTGTTAAAGCTACAAATTTGATTTTTTTAGCATAAAATATACACAAGAAAAAAAGTCGTCTGTATACATCTTTCTGCTAAATAACAAGCCTAAGTTTTCTACAACGCTACATTACTCTATTTGGGATTTTATAAAAGTTAGTATTCTGTAATATTTAACTCTATAGCAGTATAAGTCATAAGGCTTTTAAGTAAAAAGTGTTAAAAATTCTAAACATGTTGGCCTCCCTGGTGGTGTAAGGGGTTAAGCTGCAACCTACAAAGCTACCACAGCCTCTGCAGCACAAGTTCGATTCCTGGCCAGGGAGATACCCACATGGCACAGTAGACCTTTCCTGACTCGCTCGCTGCTCTCCTCAGCACTGTATTTCAGTCAATCTGCCTGTTCTGCTCCTCACTCTGTCTCTGGTGAATCCTTTCACTCCCCACACCTCTGGTCTGTACCCCAGTTCTTGTATGCATAAATAAATCTTTTTTTAAAAAAATTCTAAACATGTAACTAATAGGAAAAATAATACTTGCTTTTTTTTTTTTCAATAATCCAAGAAGTCCAATAAATAAAAATATCTACTAACATTAAGTCTTTAACACTTACAAAATACACTGCTCCAAAACTTCCATGGCCAATTTCTCTGAGATCTGTGAAGAGCTTCTCTGGATCTTCTTTGAAGAAGAGCTCTGCAATTTCAGGGTCCTTCAGGCTGCCCGCTCGGTTAGTTGATGGCATCCTGCTTGTCAGTCAGCTGTCTTGATTCTAATTTTAAACTGCTATCCCAATCCTTGGTTCATCTGTATGAATGAAGCCACGTTGGCATAAACTATTATGAAAAATAAGAAAAGAAAAAAAGGTCAGAAAAGCAAAGGTTACTAAGAATAATGACTATGAGGTTACTTTCTGACAACATATGCAAAAGTATGTGAGGTCTAAAATTTCAATATGAAGAAGTATGTTCCTAAATCTCATTTACCATCACAATTAATTATGGTGGTTAACAAAAAAAGTTTCATTCCTACAGTACATAACACAGAAGTATATACAATACACGCATTTTTAAAATTAATAAATCTTTGTATCTTAGAAAGCTTTTTGTACTTAAAGATTAATCCAATTCTAATAGTCAATCCGCAGAAGAGATAACACAGACTATTAAAAACATGAACAAGTCAAGATGTACCCAATACTATGTTTTTTTTTTTAAGATTTTATTTTTATTTATTTATACAAGAACTGGGGTACAGGTCAGATGCGCGGGAGGGTGAGAGGATTCACCAGAGACAGAGCGGGGAACAGAACAGGCACACTGATGAAATAACACTGCTGAGGTGAGCAGCGGGTGTGACAGAAGAGGTCTGCAGAACCATGTGGGACCCTCGCTGGCCAGCCGGGATCAAACCAGCACTAGAGAGGCTGCGGACAGCTTCACAGTGCTGCACTCAACCGCCTGCGCCACCAGGGAAAGCCCCAATACTATGTTTTTAACAGGAAGTTTCTCATCTATTAATGATATTCAAATGGAAGAAAATACACAAAAGATTTAATTTAGTAAATTTCTTTTCCTTTCAGATACCATATATGGCTATGTTCATATACTTCAATAGAAACATTCCAAAGAAAAATGTAACAGACAAAAGGAATAAGTTTAATATAGACAACTGCATTCCCCAAAACCAGATTCACTTAATAAATTAAAATATGGCTATTATCAAATCTGGTTCATTAAATAAGCATATACTACAAGTAACCAGTAAATTTCCTATCAGTTCTACTATCAGTTCTTTTATATCAGATTCCCAACTTTGAAAAAGTTGTCATAATTGACACTTCAGAATTTGGATTCTGGAATCACACTGCTTGGATATAAATCTTTGCAACATGGGGCCTCCCTGGTGGCGTAAGAGGTTAAACACTGCACTATGAAGTTATCTGCAGCCTCTGCAGCATGTGTTTGTTCCCCAGCCGGCCAGAGAGCAACCCACAAGGCACAGCAGACCTCTCTGGACTTGCCCACTGCTCCTCTCAGCAGTGTATTTCAGTCAGTCTGCCTGTTCTGTTCCCTGCTCTGTCTCTGGTGAATCCTCTCACCCCCACACCTCTGGCCTATATCCCAGCTCTTATATGCATAAATAAACAAATCTTTAAAAAAAAAAATCTTAGCAACACTATTTATAAGTTGTGAACTTGGGTAGCCTCATTTTTCTAATCTGCAAAATGAAAATAACCTACCTCACACAATAGTTGTGAGGGTTGAGTGAGTTAATAAATGTAAACCATATACTGGCACTCAGGAACAGTAGGCACTACATTAAATGTTAGCTATTTTAACCTGCTTAAATTTACCAATATGAAAGTAACTTCAATATTTATTTCACAGGACTTCCTAGGGAAAATAAAACTCAAGCCCACTGTCCCCATGTTCTTTAATGTAACTTAAGCAGGTAACTGTCTTGCCTTTAGTGAAGTCAACTGAACCAATTTTAATTCTTCTAGAAAAATTGTTACTACACAAAACACACTTATGTATCTTTTGTACCTCCCTAAATTTATATTATACTACAATAAAAACACTTAAATTGTTAATTTGTATTCTATTCCTAGCATACTTTCAAGGCTGTCCCTAATACTTTTACCAACTTCCCAGCTCTGGAGGTTCTCTGAAACAAAGTATTTGTTCTTCCAAGATTAAGTTATCGGAGGGAAGTCACTTAACTTAACACTCCTAAAATAAGCAGATGGTACTAAATTTCATGTAAATTATACTATGCAATTAATTTGACTGTTTAAAGTATTCACTGTTGGGCCTCCCTGGTGGCATAAGGGGTTAAGACGCAACCTATGAAGCTAACTGCAGCCACTGCAGCATGAGTTTGATTCCCGACCAGCAACGGAGCTGCCCACATAGCAGCTGCCCACATAGCGCAGCAGACCTCTCCTGCCTCGCCCGCTACTCCCCTCAGCAGTGTATTTCAGTCAGTCTGCCTGTTCTGTTTCCCACTCTGGTGACTCCTCTCACCCCCCACACCTCTGGCCTATACCCCAGCTCTTCTATGCATTAAAAAAAACAAAATAAATTTTTAAAAAAATTTTAAAAATTCAGTGTTGCTTGACTTTATCTCAAAACTATGAATGAGGAAGTTACTGTATCCTTACTGCAAGAATTACTTTACATAATAATTTTCTAACCAGCCCAGGGAGGCCCAAGCATTGCTTTTTTTTTTTTTTTAAGATTTGTTTATTTATACATACAAGAACTGGGGTACAAGCCAGAGGTGTGGGGGGTGAGAGGACTCACCAGAAACAGAGTGGAGAACAGAACAGACAGAATGACTGAAATACACTGCTAAGGGGAGCAGCGGGTAAGACAGGAGAGGTCTGCTGCGCCATGTGGGTAGCTCCCTGGCTGGCTGGGGATCGAATTCATGCTGTAGTGGCTGTGGATAGCTTCATGGTGCTGTGGTTTTTGTTATGTTTTTTTTAAGATTTATTTATTTATGCATACAAGAGCTGGGGTACAGGCCAGAGATGCGGAGGTGGGGGTAGAGAGGATTCACCAGACACTGAGTGGGGAACAGAACAGGCAGACTGACCGAAGTACACTGCTGAGGGGAGCAGTGGGCAACTCAGGAGAGGTCTGCTGTGCCATGTGGGTTGCTCCCTGGCCGGCCGGGGGATCGAACTCGTGCTGCAGAGGCTGCAGATTGCTTCATAGTGCCATGCTTAACCCCTTGTGCCACCAGGGAGGTGCCCATGGTGCTGTTGTATTTAATCCCTTGCGCCACCAGGGAGGTCCCAAGCATTGCTTTCTTAACCATTGATAATATTGTGATGAGTGCTTGGTCAAGCATATATAAGCTACAGTGTCTTAACATAATAAAAACAATTCTTTGCCATCTACTTTGATAACAAAATGATCCACACCATACTGTTACTTAAAATCAAGACAGGGCCTCACTGGTGGCGCAAGGGGTTAAGACGCAACCTATGAAGCTGTCCCCAAGCATTGTAGCATGAGTTTGATGCCTGGTCAGGGAGCTACCCACATGGTGCAGCAGACCTCTCCTGACTCACCTGCTGTTCCCCTCAGCAGTCTATTTCAATAGATCTGCCTGTTCTGTTCCCCACTCTGTCTCTGGTGAATCCTCTCAACCCCCACACCTCTGGCCTGTACCCCTGTTCTCACATGCATAAATAAATAAATCTTTTTTTTTTAATAGAGGCATGTTTTATTTATTTATTTGTTTGTTTGTTTGTTTTGTTTATATATGCACTGGGTACAGTCAGAAGTGCGGGAGGGTGAGAGAATTCACCAGAGCTAGATCAGGGAGCAGAGCAGGCAGGAGAGGTTTGCGCGCCATGTGGGACCCTCCTCCGGTGGCCAGGGAGCAGCCGGGGATCGAACCAGCGCCGCAGAGGCTGCGGGCAGCTTTGCAACCCAGCGCTCAACCGCTGTGCCACCGGGGAGGCCCGCATAAATAAATAAATCTTAAAAAGAAAAAGAAAATTGGGCCTCCCCTGGTGGTGCAGCAGTTGAGTGCTGGGCTGCGAAGCTGCCCACAGCCTCTGCAGCGCCGGTTCGATCCCTGGCCACCGGGCAAGAGTCCCACATGGTGCGCACACCTCTCGTGCTGCCCGCTGCTCCCCTCAGCAGTGTATTTCATCAGTCTGCCTGTTCTGTTCCCTGCTCTGGCTCTGGTGAATTCTCTCACCCTCCCATGCTTCTGACTGTACCCAGTGCTTGCATTAAAAAAAAAAAAAAAATGCTTTAAAAAAAAAAGAAAATCAAGACATCAGAGTTCACTTTTCTTTACCTGTTTCGACATAATGGATATGTATCAATAAAAATTAAATGCTGCAGCAGTTCAGTGATAGGAATTTCACTCAAAACATTATAAAGTTATAATTGCAATACTCAAATTTGTAGTGTGCAAAGCAGGGATCTTTGAAAATATCGGATGAAAATATCACATATAGGCTCTACTGCAACTACTCAACTTTGCCACATTAGCATAAAAACAGCCATCAACAATATATAACTAAATCAGTGTGACTATTTAAACAAAATTTTATCACCCAAACTTGAATTTTGTGCAATTTTCATGTTTCACAGAATATTAATTTTTTTTTCCCCCAACACCTAAATATTCTTAGAGAGGGGTCATACAAAATCTATACAATGGAGATTCACGTAGCTATAAAAAAAAAAAGAGTATATTTAACATTCTGTATAAATTAATCTGCAGGTTACATTTTCATGAGAAAAACAACAAGGCATAGAACAATGCATATATTACTATCTTTTGTTTTAAGCTAGCTACATTTATTTAGAACAGTTTTGTATATGAGGGTTCTTGAATCAAATGAGAGAAGATTTAAAGGAAGAAGGGGGAAAAAAGTACTCATCAATTTGAAAATCACTAATAGTTTGTCTTTCTAATAATCAGATTAGGAGAAAAATTGGTAGTAGGAAGAACTAAAAGTATTTTAGGATCTGGCATTTGTTGTGACAGATACCCAGTTATGGTGCATTTTCATTGTTTTTTCCATGGCAGAACATGCAAGAGAGTCTTGGGTATGTTTGAAGCCAGTCTACTCTTCTGTTCCATAATTATGTTGCTTGCAAGACTTGTTGGAACAGTAGTTGGCTGTGCCCCAGACAAATGGAGTGCTCATCTGTCTTTATCTCAGGCATTATCACAAATAGGGCACTGCCATGTGCTCCCAGCCAATCTCTTGTTCCAGGTTCCTAGTTTGGTTGACATCCTACTCAACACAAATTTTGTCAGCACCATCTCAATCACAGCTTGAGATATGATGATTGAT